GAAAGTTTAAAACCATTCTTGGTTCACAGGCCCTAGAACGAACAGACAAGGGACCGTATACTTTTGGCCAGCAGGCGGTGGCCAAATGCTTCATTTGGTGGCCCCAGGAGCTCATAGGTGGCCCGCCCAATGCTCTCTGTTCCCACATCACTCTTCTCCAAGGTCTTCTGCAGGGCCTCACTCTCCAGACGCACCCGGGCCCCCACCGGGCTCAGCAAGTTCATTTCCGGCACAAAGAAAGTTTCCTTCCGACGAGGAATTCTGGTGCCAGCTGCTAGTAATCAATTCTTTAGGTCTGATACCCCCTCTCGATCAAAAACATGTCTTTTTCGCACCATTGTGGAACGAGACTATGACTCACATTTTGCCACTCAATAAGTCACTTCAGGCACTTTTCCAGAGACCTTTCTCAAGTGATTGCTGGGTGCCACGCCCTGGGCTAAGGGCTCTGCGGAGCCACTAAATTTGCACCGAAACCCCGAGATATGAAATTTTATTCTCCACGTTTTGTGGAGAAGACAACTTGGGCTCAATACAGTTGAGTAAATTCTTCGAGGTCACAGGGACAGTAGGTGACGGAGGCAAATCTGAAACCAGGACTCTCTGTCTCCAAATCCAGGCTCTTAGCCAGTGATGCTACCCTGTTTCCAAATGATACATCTCTCCTTCGAGGACTGGGCATGGTGACATGGGGGCATCAGAGCACAAGAAGCCAATGGCAGAGACAACAAACTGCCCACCCCCTCCTGTCCATTGCTAATAGAACCCCAATTCTATTTAGAGTTAATAATATGTGCCAGAAAGTCACATCTACCAGCCCTCCTTGTCCGGGGACACAAGTCATTAGATGGTGTTTTCTGAGAAATTCTTTAAAGGGGAATGACTCCGCTGGGAAGCACCCTCTCCCATTCTTCCTGCTTGAGATACCGACGTGATGGCTGGTATCTTGGCAACTAGCTTGAGCTCCGATGCGAAGCGGGAGAAGCATCACACCATAACGATAGATAAAGTGGATTTCTAGGAGTCTGAGTCTCTGTTCACGGAATTACCACATCAGCCCTCAACTGCCCACCTTTGCACTTCTCTTCGGGTGAGAAAAATAAAACCTTTAATAATGATATACGCCACTACGTTTCAATTCTACGTTGCTCATGGACAAAGGCCATTCCTATCTGACATAAGCCCTCTCTAAATATCACTCCCATAACTACCCTTAGAGGACTCATCAACACTGCTCTCTATTGGTCTTCTTACTTCAGAAGAGTCAGGGAACCATGCTAGCTGCTATTATCCTGCCCCATACCCTAATATTTCCACTACATGGACTCCACATCTCTACCTGCCAGCCTCATATGGTCAGGCCAGTGGTTACTGGTTCCCGACCAGGCCTGAGAATTTATTTCTCGGTAACCACCTGACCACGGGCTTGAGCTAACTTCTTATCTCCTCCTGGCCTTTCCTAAAAGAAAGTTCAATATCTTAGCATCGGTCATTACTCCTTTGCTCTTGTACGGTTCTTTGCATTTTGCAAAGCATGTCCATGAGCAGTATTTCTTTTGATTTTCACAACAACTTTGACCAATGAACAGGGATGGTATTTGTTGTGTCCTCATTTAAGAGCTCAGGAGGCTTGAGCTTGGAGAGGCTGAGTAATTCACTTACTGCACCGAGCCAGGATACAAACTCGGCTCTTTGACTCCCAGGTTCCCATTTTTTCCATTATGCCAGTTGCTCCTAGGAGACTTCTCAGATTCTGATGAGAGAAGCCAGAGACACAGCTCGGTTCAGATAACCTCCTTTAAAGCAAGTTTGTCTGGCCACCAACTGCCTGTCTCCACCCAATATCTGAATTGTTCGTCATCATCAAAAGGCTGATGTACTCACCTGAATCAAGCAAACGACTACGTGCTATTCGAAAAATCAATTAAATCAACACCATCTGTGTCCACCGTGCACTCGGGCTCTATAGTAGGTGATGTTGACACGAACAAACACTGACAACTCTGTAAACCCCTGACAGATGAATCACGTATGTGAGAACAGTGGCAGTTGTCCCGCTGCTGCTCCGAGGATGGTGGAAGGCAGTGACAAGTAAGGCTGAGAAGTTGCTGGCACCCGAGATAGGAGAAGAAATTGGCACTTCCCAATTAGTCAGGAGAGGCTTTTCGAGGAAGACGGAGTGTCAGACGCTATTTAATTTGTGAATGAAACAAGTTTAGGAAGATAAGTGCCAGTTCAAACAGAAACAGAAATGGGAGAATAATAATAAGAGCTAGCACTACACTTGCACCCTACTAGACAGATTTTTTAAGTGTAGGAACCAGAAATGGGCTGTGGCTGATGCAGGCACAAAGGGAATTTGCTGAGAAGGTCCTGGGTAACTCGCATAATTGCCAAGAATTCTGGAGGACCAGGCTCTGAAAATAGACACGAACAAAGATGGCGGACAGAACTACTCAAACTCCCACCACACAACTAGTCTAGCTCTGGACACAGTGTATCAGTTAGGTGCGTCAGCAGTAAGGCTAACAAACAACCCCAAACACCCAGGCACTTATGATAACGTATGTTTGTTGCACACGTGCCTGGCGTCATTCAGAGGCTCATAGGCAGCGTTGTAATCTCGGCAGGGCCACTGGTGAGGCTCCACATTGGCCAACTATTGGCTTTCCTAGGCTGGCCTCACCAGGAACGACTGTGGTGACTCTGCTCGGCTCCACATGTCCCTCATCCTCCACCATGTCTAGACCAGGTGGGTTCTCATGGAGAGGAGCAAAGGAATTGCAAGGCATGTAATGTCTCTTGAGACCGGGGCTCAGAACTGGGAGCACCATCAAAAGTTCAGCCAAAGCAAATCACAAGACCAGCCTCAGTTTAAGGAGTAGGGAAATAGATTCTGCCTCTTTGGTAAGGGAACTGCAAAAACACACAATAAACGCCCTGATACTGGGGTGTGTGTGGGGGGGGGGGGTGTGACAAATTAGGACCATTGATGCAATCATTCTGCCATCACTCATAGGAAACCACCACTAACACATCTGTCCTGAAACTGTATGTGGACTCCACCACCACCACCTTCCTTGTATTCCAGCTCCAGATTCAGGGCTCCAGACAAAGATACTGGGGTAGCTGGGACTAGATCATGGAGTTGTGCACTAAAGGCCAGAAACACTGGGAAACCAGGTATCTCCAGTTGTTTTCATTTCCTTCAGAGGAGAGGGGTTCTGCCTCTCACCAAGACCTATATACCAGTACCCCACACATAGGGAAGAAGTTCAGGTGCTGGATAGCACCTTTCTTTTTTAAAGTTTTATTTATTATTTTGAGAGCGAGAGGGTGTGAGTGGGGGAGGGGCAGAGAGAGAGAGGGAGAGAGAGAATCCCAAGCAGGCTCCTCACTGTCAGCGCAGAGCCCAATCGGGGCTCGACCCCACAAACCATGAGATCATGACCCGACTCACTCAACCGACTGAGCCACCCAGGTGCCCCTGCCAGCTGTTCTTTAAAACCATCCAGTGTTTGTTGGGGTATATTACAGAATGTCCCCAAATCTTTACCCCTCATTGTATCCATGCCTCTTGCCATATAGCTTGCTTGGGAGCCTTTGCCTTCCTCCATGGGCAGGGTGACCCATCTCACTCTTCGATGCTAAACTCAATCAAAATCATTCACGTGCTCATGTTGGCTCTTGCCTTATGGGATGTTAGCAGATGTCTCATAAGCAGATACTTGCAATGAGCTTGCACATTAAAGCTTGTTCTCTTGTACTTCTGCTGCCTCCACGGGAACGTGCCCAAGCTGGCCAGACAGAGAAAGAGAGACATGCGGGCTCAAGCGGAAGTTCCCCGGATGTCTCAGCCTAGATCGGCCAGCTGACAGCTAGGCAAGCCGCGGAAATGTGCTCAAGCCCAGCCTAGATCAGCCAAACCATCTCGCCAACCCCCAGCGGACTCAAACACATGAACAATAAACACTTCTTGTCACATGCCCTTGAGGTTTTGTGGTCACTTGTTACAAGGCATTATTTTGACAATGGAGAACGGATACCATCTGCCAGCAGTGTGCAGATTAATAAACTCGTTTCACTCTCAACTGCCAAGTTAGATATCAGAATTTTCACTTACGTGGAGAGGTTAGGTAACTGTGTAAACTTATTCAGGATGGACGTGATATTGGTTTTCTTACAACAGAAGCCACTTGCTGGATAACTTTAGCCTGGAACATAGTTAGAAAGAAGAAAGTCCATGACCCCATGCTGAACTTCTGGGGCAGGGCTTGTCCTCACCTTGCGTGGGCCAAACACGACTCTAAAATGAGCCAGGAAGGCTTGGATAATAACCAAGAAACTATTCCAAGGCTAATCCCATTAGCATGGACCCAGGGAACAATGCAAGGTCATTCCCTGTCCTGGAAAGTTCTTGAAATAAAGGAACCACCAAGAAGCACCTAGAAATACTTCAATTGTGTGTGGTTTCTCCTCCTAACTGGCTTAACCGTAATGGGATTTGGTCTATTCCTGGTTTTTAAAGGTCAACGAGTATTTAATGAATATAGATAACTCCGTAGACCCTGAGCCAGCACCACAGACATAGTGTGGCATCACTACAACAATCAGAATGCCCGGCACACAGTAGGTGCTTACGAGACAGTGGGGCCCTCCCTTGTCTTCTCATTCCTCATATTTAAGGAATCATACCCCCAAGACTTTTCACTTCTGTAAGTCACAATTCTTGGGGCCTGACAGACCCAAAGTTACCTGTTGGTTCAACATATATACTGTAGGCCTACTATGTGCTAGATGCCAGGAAGACAGAGACCTGGGGCTGACCTTGAGAAACTTAGAATCTAGTGAGAACCTAAATTTCTCAGAACCAGATTTAATTACTAACCGAAGGTAATATCCTCTTAGTGCCAAGTGAACTGTCACAAGCACCACATTTAGAGAAAAATAATGAAAGTGTCAAATTTATGTTATGTTAGAAGTTTATTTTATTTATTTAATCTCTATTACAAGATATAATGACTGGTTTTCAATTTTTGTAAAGATAAAGATACCGTTTTAATTTCCCAAATTGATGAATATGTTATAAATTTTCCATTTTTAATACATAAAAGCTGAAATCTATATTAGCTTGGATGCACATCTACTTTTGCCTAAGTCCACAAAACCATAAAAATCCCACTTTACAGCTGAAATTATAAGCTCCGAATAACATAAATGCTAAATCTATTCATTCATTTAAACTCTATTAAAGTTATCACAAATTATTATTTTAGTGTCTTAGAAGATAAATAGCCTTAAAAGGTAAAGGATCTTTTTCCAGGCAACTCCCATCTGTGATGCCACATTCTGAGGAAACACTTGGCAGAAAGTTCAAGGAAAACGTGAGAAGGCCAAATCTAGGGAAAGAGTTGTGATAATCACAAAGTTGGATTGCCAGGAAGACCTTAACATTATTGCTTACATGCACCAACCAGCATTTAACAGTGAGACCCAGTCATATGATCCCTATCATCTCTTTCCAGGGGCAATTTTGAAACCATTTGAAGAGCTATCCAACTTCATTCTTGCTTTCAAAGTCTTTTCTTTGAAGAGGGAGTTCTGTTTGTACAGGCATGTGCTCCCAACACACACCTTACCTTAGAGATTCATGGATTAGCATCCACAGGACCGATTCTTCATCAAAATGGCCATCTTCTCTACAGCGAAAAGGAAGCAGGGTTCAGAGGGAATGAAACAGGAAAAACTAATTTTGAATTCAAGAAAAGTTCTGAGCAAGAAGGAGAGTGAATGTGGGACAATGGAGCGGGGAAGGGGCCTGAATGAGATTCATCCATCAGCTGGGGATGTGCCCTCGGGTACTCATAGGACTCATAGGTCCTGAGTGTGCATGAACTGGGAGTCGAGGTAAGAAGGAGACCATGTCTGGCCCATCACGAGGGCTCAACAGATGACCAGGCAATGAAAGGCCCATTTTACTGCAGTGGACTAACAGCTTTCTCTTTGACTTTTCTGTCCATAAGGTGAAACTCACAAAGTCAAAATTAGCCTTAAATTTTCATCAAATTGCCCATAAACTATAGTTTTTCTCTCTTGCATATCGATGGCTAGATTTGTTGCGGCCAAGTTTACTTGCTCCACATTGGAAATCAACAAACTGGTACCTCTCACTGAGCCCATCACAGGCAGATTTTCCTCCAGTGATCGAACTCATGAGTATTTTTCAAATGAATGCCATATGAAGCAGCTGGCTTGCGTTAGAGGTTCTGTTGTAAGAAATAAATATCTTTAAGCGCTAGGAACACACTAAATGTAGCATGACAAGCATATCATAAGAGGCAGATGGGGACTCAGGTCAGGTAGGAGAGAGCAAATTTACCTCTGTGAAAGCACACCCAGGATAGAAACTTACAGAGCAGAATGTTGGGGCACCTGGGTGGCTCAGTCAGTTAAGTATCCGACTTTGATCTCAGCTCAGGTCATGATCTCATTGTTCAAGAGATAGAGCCCCACACCAGGCTCTATGCTGACAGCGTGGAGCATACTTGGGATTCTCTCTCTCTCTCTCTCTCTCTCTCTCTCTCTCTCTCTCTCCCCTCCTGCTTATTCTCTGTCTCTCAAAGTAAATAAAACAGAAAGAAAGAAAGAAAGAAAGAAAGAAAGAAAGAAAGAAAGAAAGA